AGACAGCACACTTAAATAGAAATCCTAAACAAACTTCCTACAATCACATTTTTAACCATAACTGTGACTATTTGGGTTAACCTAAAAAAAATAAAAAATAAAAATATCGGACAAGTGTCAATATGCACACACTCGATGAAAGGAATAAAATAAACATGGATTGAAAAAACTGCACATTTTTCACAAAAAAAATTCTAATTAAATTAATTTTAATTCTAATTAAATTGAATTAAATCTGCATTTCTAATTTTTTTAAAAAGAAGGAAAAAATGGCCCGACGTAGACATATAAGTGGCCTTTATTAGATAAAATGTTTAACTAAACGATTTCAAAACTATGGGATTGCTTTAAGCCAATTCGAAAACTAAAAGTTACTGTATCTTCTATGAAAAATGACACGCATAGTCACTCTGGAAACATTGCGAATGTCACAGAGCAATCACATGATTGACTGACAGCATACGATGTAGGCGCAATGTGAATCTTGATGCAGCCAAATGCTGCAACAAGACCAGAATAAAACGCACATTATGGGGACGTGGAAAAGCTAAATCTGGGAAGCTGGCAGTCAAGAATTAAAAAGGATCATAATTCTTCTACACAGCAACACAAACAGCCCAACCCCATTGAAAAGAATGAATAAAGGAGCTACTAAAGTCATGTTGGACATGCCTTCCCCCTTGCCTGTTCCGGCAAAAGGGGAGAACATTCTATGGCAGCATCATCATCACCACCAACATCATGATCATGACCTCCTGCCCTCCCCTGTGTGTGTCTGCTGTGTGCTGGTACTGATAGGGAGAAAGGTTACGATATAGGAGTAGAGGAGTAGTAGTAGTGGCAGTGTGTACATCTCTCTTGCAGGACGTCGCCACTCCGACAGATCAGGTGACCCTCCTCGTCGTCCCTCACACAAAGTGCCCGCGTCCCACTGTCACTCCGCTGCTTCGGCCCCGGCCAGAGTCACAGGTCAGAGGTCACGCCACGACCGCAGAGGGAGGAGGGGAGGTGGGCAGAGCAGGGAGAGTGGAGGGGGACAGCCGTAGCCACGGCGACGAAGATGAGCAGTGTTGTAGTTGTTGTAGGTAGATGTGGTGGACATGGGGCGATTCGTTTGACACCACGTGAGGAGATATATATAACGATAGGGATATAGTGCAAGGGATCAAGTCAAAGATAACATTTTACCCCTCCCTTCTTGCTTGCTTGCTTTCAAACCCTCATCCCTCTGTCACAAAGTCACAAAAAGCAACCTGCATCAACATTTACTCATAGAAGAGCACATGAGTAAAGGCATTGCTAATTCACAACTATTACATCTCCAAAGCTAAAGGTTGCTCTACTGGAAGACTGGAAATAAAATTAAAAAGAGCTGAAATTATGAAATAACTTTATATGCTTTCATTTAAAAAAATAATCTAAATTGTGTGAAAGAGTTATATAGGTGTGTAGATAGAGCAAGATAAAGAATGGATGAGAGTTATGAGATTAATTATGGAGGCTCTCCCAACAAACCTATTTACTACTATTAATATTAACATTAATGTCTATTGGATTGAGCCTCACTATAATGCTACAGATGGGGCTAATTTGATTATAAACACTGAAAGCCAAGACTTGGACTATCACTATTAAAAAAAAAGACAAAACGTCAACAAAAAGAAGAACATAAAACAAAGGAGTTAATACTTACCAAATCCTGGGGCTGTGGAAAAGAAAAGCGTTATGGAGAAAGAAAGACAGGAGCGTGTAGGGGTAGAGATAGGAGAAAGGATTTGGGGGTGGGAAAGAGCAGGCTCGGGTATTGAAGTACTCACCGAGGACGATGGGCTATAGGACCTGGTTCTACGCCGCCTTCGTTTGTGCTTACGCCTGCTGCCTTTCCTCCGGTACGAGTCCTCACGGTCCCGATCGCGGCCCCGGCGGTAGTCATAGCTGGGCGAGGTGTCGCGGGAGTAGTAGTTGCTCGGCGTCCCGTGCTCCCTGTCGTGATCCCTGTCCCAGTCGCGGCTGTGCTCCAGGCGCCGATAGCTCTCGCCGTAGTGTCTGTCGTAAGGCCTGCGGTCTGAAGAGCGGTTGTCATAGCTGGGGAGAAGATAAGTGCCATTTAACACTTTACAGAATTACAGAATGATTCTGCTTCAAAGTAACCACTGCATACTTCCTGGTTTTGAATTAATATTCATAAAAATAAAAAAAAAGAATTAGGACTTTACCATATTATCAGGTTTAAACATTACCACAGGTTAATTAAGCTTGTAACACTCCAAAGAGAAAGGAAAACTTGAAATCGCATCATATGACCCCTTTAATAATTAAAGTTTAAACCATTTTGATTGCAAATAAAGTCAGTGGTGAATACTGCATACATATTGAGGAAATTCAAATCTGAAAAATTATTCATAAGAAATCCAAAAAGAGAAGAGGCAAAGGAACTACTGACTTCATCTCATGTAGAACTAGTAAATACAATAAACGTACCATATGTTAATCAAATAGCAATTTATTTGGGAAAAGAAGTGATTTATAAAAATAAAAAAATTAATATGCTGATTTGCTGCTCAAGAAACATTTCTTATTATCAGTGCTGGTAACAGTTTTTGTTACTTAATATGTATATTAAAAAGTAAGATTATTATATTTATTACTAAATATACACAAAGTAAATATTACTATTGTAATACTTCCCTGAAAAACAACTGCTATCAGCTTGTGCTTTTTTGAGCTGTGTAAGGCATCAAGCAATGGTAAACCATGAAATTTTGGTCAATGGTTCCAGTACTTGATCATACCTCCTGGATCGGGCATAGCCGGGATTCTGTCTGTGTCCTCTCCCCCTCCTCTCACGTTCAATGCTGGAGGAGAACGTCGGTGAGCGGCGATGCCGAGGTTTTCTCCCTCGATCTCTGTCCCGATAACGATCTTGGTAGCTGCAGTGGCTGGCCCTCTCCGAGGATGGGTACCGTCTGGAGTGTGGCATCTGCACAAGATGCAACAAATATATTATGATAAATACAGGGGGAAAAAAGTGTATATATATATATACACACACACACGTTTTGTTTTCTTTTTAATGGACATCAGAACATCTTTAACATATTTATGAGCTGAACAGGTAAAAGCTGAACTACATGAATATTAAAAACAGCATATTTTAAAGCAAGACAAGAACACAACATACATAAATTGTTAAAATCTCAATATGTTTTCATTAAGTAGGGAAGACTGACATCTATATTTATATGCTAAAAATAAAGGAGGTGAGAATAACTAGTCTGTGACTTTTAGAAGTCACATTGATTTTAGACTCTTTTCTTCTAAAAAAAAGAAAGAAAAAAGAAAGAAAGGCAAGCTAGTAAGCTTTTCACATGCTGGAAAAAGGTCTATAATCCAGCCATTTAATATAAACAATAATGAGTATATAGATGAAAAGGCAAACAACGGTCTTAAGTTTTTACACTATTATTTACCCAGGGACAAGCGTGTAAAAAAAAAAAAAAAAAGCCCCTATGTGTGCAGTTTATAGAGGCAGGTCTAGAACAGGTCTTAAAACACTTGGAAGGACAGACAGAATGAGACGTTAATTTAACATAAGAAAATCTGAGATTTTAATTAATAAAATTTGCCACGTTATTTTTATTGTATGGTTGACACATGTTAGTGTTAAGCAATACTGAATAATGAATAAAGGGCCACTCCGGTCTGCATGGAAAACTTTATATGATATCAAAGATTTTTATGCATATGTATTATGCATGAAAACATATTAAAGGAGAAAATTATTCGAGACCTCAGAAAAAGAAATTAGATTTAAGAAATAAGAATTAATATGACTATTTAAACGAACATGTATTTAAACGCGCTAGATAGCATCTAACATCTGGAAAGAAAGAAAAACAAACAGAAAGCTGACGGGTTATAATGCAGAAATCCTGCCTCCAACTATATTAAGACCCAGTTATTCGAGACAACTACTATATTTAGCGGAGAAGCCGCGGACCAAGATGTAACAAGCAAGGAAATACCAAGAACCTCGAAATTAACGGTAGTAACGAACGTGAGCAGATTTACAGCTGTTTAATATATATAATAAGAAAAAACTAAATTTTCTCAGAAACGAATGGATAGGCTAACCAACTAACGTTAGCTCAAGTTGTTATTGTTTTTCATCACGATTTCTTTTACAATGTAACAACAGGGAATCCATTTATTAGTCGTCCCTATTGTTATAAAATGTGCGGCAATGTCGATACATTACATGGCATCGTAACGTTTGAAACACAGCAGATAAACATGATCTTTTTCTAGCTGACCAGCAGCTCTTCGCGTCGACGGCCATTTTGAGATCTTCTAATCTTCAACGGGCCATTTCTCAAATGCTCGTTCGTGGGTAATTCGGCTGAGAGTGGGGCAAAAAGTGACAGACAGTAAAAAAAAAAAGTTTTGTAATCACCGTTTTAGCAGCCAGTCCTGTCCGTTTATCCCAAAGAAAATCCGTGTTCACGCTTCGCCTCCAATTTCTTACTCGAGCCCAGCTCGGGCCCAATTAAACAGTGAAGAAAAACAACTTCCGGTCCCTCCTCCAACCTTCTTTATACGCGCGCGTTCCATTTGCACATCCGACGTAAACAACGCAATATTTATTCCGTGATGATGATCCGCAAAAACGTGCAGTTACCAAATAACAGTCACTACAATAACCACAATGTCTTCCCAAAAAGAAAATAAAGTGGAAAAAGAAAGAAAAGCTTCTTATATTTGAAAGGGATTCGTTTATTTTGATTTTACAGTAGTAATAATTGTAGTTATTTTATGTTTGATACTACAGTGAGACTAACACAGTAGACAATTGTATATATTACACATCATTTTGTCACAAAAGAGAAAAATGTATTCCCCCTCCCCCAACGTGATTATTATTTTAATAGTATTATTCATACTTAGCTTTTTTTTACCTGCATATTTGACTTAAAATAAATTACATACAAGACACACATTACACAAAAAGTCGTTTTTGATATTTGCAAATTTTATTTACATCAAGTAAGTGGCTATTAACAATACTCGTAGAGGTTAAAAACAATAAAAACAGACAAAACGATAAAAGCAACAACACAAACTTGAATATATTTTATTATTCTTTTCATATTCAAAGGGTTATGATTGGAATGCTCTTCCAGAACAGTGTCACAACTATGTTTCTGATGGCTTGGTGAAACTGTTTACAATGATAACACCTCTATTAAAGTTTTAGTGTTTTTTGTTGAAAGCAGTATATCAGAGCAGCCTTCCTGTGCACCGCAGAGAGCCACAGCAGCAGAGCAGAACCTTCCCCTCCACACTGCCAACCTCATAGTTATAATCCCACGTCACCTCTGTACCCGCCTTGATGCGCCTGGTAAAGAGAGATCAAAGGAAAAACAGAATAAGACAACTTTCTGGTCTGGATATAACATTTAGAAATATAAATAAATAAATAAAAAGACCGCATGTATTTTATAAAAACAAGATTAAAAATAGCAAGAGTTTCCAAATAAAACTTAGGTCAACCACTCATTTTTAAGTAAAACGTCAGTTTCTGTAATAGAAAATCGAGCTGGTATTAATCAAGGCACTGACTTGCTGGCAAAGAACGCCACCCATGGAAACCGTAGGTCATGTGTGTCGACAAAGACGTTCTGAACAAACAAATTCGGACTGCAGCTATGCTGTAGAGAGATGCAGAATTAAGAGCAAAACACAAAAAAAACATGCAAAATATTTACAAACTTTTCTTCAAACTTTTTTTCGTCTACAATCACGAAAGGCTAAGTTTAGCTTACGTTGATGAAGCGGCCGAGGTTGCCCTCTTGTCTGGCATCAATGATGTAACAGGTCTCCTCGCCGTTGAACAGTCTGCGGGTGTTGTTGCCAGTTAGAGCTGTCCTCGTTTTCTCGTTCTTTGCATCCGTGGTTACTAGTGGTTTTACTCTTCTCTGGAATGACTTTCTGGCAAAGCAACGCTTTGGACCCGAGGTTTCTTGACCTGTAGACACAAATTATAGACTTAGCAAATTCAATAAAACACTAAAAGCACAAAATGAGGAACAGAAATGGAGAATACAGAGAATGGAAACTGACCATCCTCTCTCATTTGTTTGGTCACTTTCTTCTGAGCATCTTTAGATGTTTCATGTGGCTTATGGGATAGTTTTCTCACTGAACAGGTAAAGAGGACAGGTCAAAAAAAAACATCAGGTAAGTTAAGTTTGCTACACAGTGTTCCCGGAACATTCATTTTGTCTTATTAGTTACTAATAATTATGTACTTTTCCCATCACCAGCAAAGAATGCAAAACAGGAAGATTAAAAACATGTTTAACTGAAATAAAATTAAATAAATATATTAGATGAAAACTTAACTAAATGAAATTTAGAAATGGTGCATTGGCAACTAACTGAAATAAATACTGAAATAAGTTCAAGCACTAAATTACTAAATGGTAAACTGGAAATAATCAAAAACTAAAACCTAAAACTGAAATAAAAATAAATGAAACCCAAGTAGTAATATTTACAAAAAAAACAAAAACTAATAAAAAAAGACAAAAGCACAAAATGAAACAAATTAAAACTGGAAATATATAAATCAAAGCTAATTCAAAACTAGGCCTGTCACAATAACAACTTTTTGTTTGTGCGATATATTGCCCCAGAAATAATTGCGATAAACAATATTATTGTCATTTTAAGACCATTTTATGCCACTGAATACAGTATATAATCATAAAATAAAAGCATAATAATGCAAGGCGGCCAACACACTTCCAAATAAATTTGAACTAGCACCTCATGACTACACCACGTTATGTACGAGAAGCTGCAAAAGACACAGGCGCAAGTGGAGTGCAAAAAATATGATGACATTAATGTTTATGTGAATATAATGGGCGATATATTGCGTCACCAAAAATTATTGAGGTCATGTACATATATTGTGCGACAAGTCGATATATTGATTATTGCGACAGGCCTATTCAAAACATTAATAAAAATAATAATAGTATAGAAAAAAATACTAATAACACTGCATCTTACCTTCCATTTCTTGTTCTGTGTCCAGCTCCATAGGTTCTTCTCTTTCTATGGAAAAAGCAACATAAAAGATTTCACAGTTGCACACAGAAGTGAAAAGACATGCAATTGTTTGGCTAATATGTGCAAATGCTCATAAGGCTGAATATTTACACACACCTTCACTACTGCTAGAGTCTTCTTGGTAGAGAGTGTTTTTCCATAACGGCCCTGTTTTCATGGTTATGGTCTTCTTGTTGCTTTCGACCTCTGTGTCCGAGCAGTACGCCGCGCTCTCATAACCCTCTTTCAGTTTCTCCACACCCTCAATGAAGTCAAGGTTGGCCAAATAGTCATTGCCGGACACTGTGTCATCCTCATTCATTCTGTCTTCGTTTATTATTTTACCTGTGAGGTGATAGATGGAGGTGATGGGAGGAATTTTGTTGTGTTTAAAGAACTAAAATTTCTGTTCACTTACCAGTGAAAACACACACAAATGTGCCCTTGGCTACGTCATCTTTGCAGCGGATGCCCCATCCCTTGTGCTGTGTCATGAAGAGCTCCAGCCGCAGCTGCAGACCATGCTGAACCAGCCTGTTGCTGCATGTTCTCGGATCACAACGGCACAGAGGGTTACACTCATACACCCTACAGGGATGGAAGTGTCATTTTTGTGGTTAGAAATGTTATACACTACCGTTTAAAAGTTTGGGCTCAGTGAGTTTTCTTTTCTTTTTTGAAAAAGAATTTGATACTTTTATTCAGCAAGGTAAAGACTTCAATTGTTACAACTAAATGTTGTACTTTTGAACTTACCATCCATCAAAGAGTTCTGAAAAAATGTATCATGGTTTCCACAAAAATATTAAGCAGCACAACTGTTTCCAAGATTGATAATAATTAGAAATGTTTCTTAAGCAGCAAGTCAGCATATTAGAATGATTTCTGAAGGATCATGTGACACTGAAGACTGGAGTAATGAAGCTGAAAATTCAGCTTTGCTATCACAGAAATAAAATACATTTTAAGATATATTAAAATAAATGCAGTCTTGGTGAGCATGAGACTTTTAAAACATTTTAACCACAAACTTTTGAACAGCAGTGCTATCAAAATTATGTACTGATCTGAGAGCAGATCATAATAACAATATTTTTGACAATAAAATGTAGTAACAATGTGTTACATCATTGTGGCAAATCCGCTGTAACCAAACGAGAATCAGACAGACAGAAAAACAGACAGAGGTTGTTTCTAACCCTGTTGGCAAGGTGGTTGGTAACCTCTTGTGTGTGTATCCGGCACTAACATCCACTGGACCACCACTGCATAAGGACGTGGCTTCAATTGTTTTTTTAACCTTAAACCGCATAAACATTTCATTACACCAAATACACAAAATACTGTTCTTTTTTAGCAACATCATATGACCCCTTTAAACTAATGGCTGAAATGGAGTAATAAAGAAATTAAGAATGAGAATTTCTCACATTGTTTGCAGACAACATGAAAGTCTGGAAGTGCCAGGTAATCTGTTTGGCCATCATCATAAAACACCAAGAACCTGATAGAAACATTTAACAAATGGATTTAGTTATTATATCAGACAAGACTAAAATAAAGAAAATAAGATACTTGTTAAATACTAATATTGAAAATTGAAAACAAAACAAAATGCAATAGCCTGGACATTATGCTAAATATTTTCTTTCATGTTTCATGAAAGAACAAAAAAAAAAACAGATTATGAATGACCTGAGGATAAGAGGACTATCCCTTGAACATAAATTCACCTCATGCGATTCTTGCGCTCAGGAAGCTCAACCAGCACAGCAGCATTAAACGAGACCTTTCCTTCATCATCTTTGCTGCTGGCCACAACACGACAGCCAATAAACAAATCCTTAAGCACGGGAGGCTTCAGAGAAGCCACATGATGAGCAGGCAGCACAATCTCTTTACCACTCTTAAACTCCACCTTGTATCTGAGGCCATCCTCTAAAAGGAAAGAAAGATAAGACAGGTCAAAAATGCAACCAAATCCATTAGATTTTCACCTTCATTTTAATGTATTGTGGATTTACAGAATAGGTCAGTCTTACCTGCTGTTTGGACTTCTTGTACTGTTCCTTTACACCACACGTTGTGTTGCCTTTTCCCCAAAACTCCCATGCTGACATTGAGTTTTATCTCTTTATGTTCTTGAGAAGGCTTGGAGGACTCACTGGATGAAGACTTGGAACCTAAGACAGAGTCAGTGACCGAGGACAAATACTGTTACTGTATGGATGGACGTATGGATGTCAGGTATATGTATATGCATAAATATATATATATATATATATATACACTTCTGTTTAAAAGTTTGGGTTTGGTAAGATTTTCTTTAATGTTATTGACAGAAGTATCTTATGCTCACCAAGGCTGCATTTATTTGATCAAAAATTGAGTAAGAACAGGATTATTGTGAAATAGCATTACTTTTCTACTATAACCTGTCTATTTTGATTTATATTAAAATTTAATTTATTCAAGTGAATACATATCATTTTCAGCAGAATTCAGCTGAATTTTCAGCAGCCTTTACACCAGTCTTCAATGTCACATGATCCTTCAGAAATCATTTTAATATGCTGATTTGCTGCTCAAGAAACATTTCTTATTATCAGTGTTGAAATCAGTTGTGCTGCTTCATATTTTTGTGAAAACGGTATTTGTTAACTAAAATGTATGACAGAAACCATAATGTAAGATTAGTCATAACTGATTAGTTCAGATACATCTGTAACACATTATGTAAAGCATGAGTTAATATACTGTGATATGAGCTGTATAAATAAAAAATAAAGCTTACTTTCATCAGGACTGGAAGATTCTGCAGGAGCATTATTGCCGCCGGTATCATCAGTAGTATCTGTCGATAACTCTGACTGTGATTTAGGGGGTTCATGATCACTGTCTATCAATGACTCTGATTGTGATTTAGGGGGTTCATAATCACTGTCTGACGATGACTCTGAATGTGATTCAGGGGGTTCATAATCACTGTCAGCAGGACTAGCAGGCAGGTCCTCTGTGTCAGAGGGGTCATTATTATTATCTGCAGGCGATGATGCCCTTGTTGTTTCCCTTTGTGGGCAGGAAGTGCTAGTACCAGGCGCAGTGTTTTTTGAAGATCTCAGCCTAGTTGTTGGACTTATTGTGGGCACAGAGGGTTTGGCAGATTTGCTCCTTGTTTTTGGCTTTCCGGTCTCATCTGTGGACTCCGAGTCACGGCTGGCAAGAGTTACAGCTTCTTCAGAATTGCTCGGCAATGATGACACTTCAGGAGGAATCTCTGTGGTTGACTCACTGGCAGCAGTTTCCATTTGTTCTGAACTGCTTGGAGGTGAAGACATTTCTGCAGGGGTCACTAGCGGCACTTGAGGATCAGTCTCATTTGATGCTACAGATGCTGAATTAGGACAGGCAAGAACTTTCAATTGTTCTGAGTCGCCTGAAAATGAAGGGATTTCCGAAGACATTGCCAGCAACGTAAGTCCAGTGTTACTTGCTGCTTCGTGATCTGAATTAAGGCTGTTTGACTGTTCTAAATCACTTTCAAGCAAAGATGTTTCAGGAGTTAATGCTGTCGGCTGAGGTTCAGTCTTAATTGATGATATTTTGAAAGGTTTTGAAATGCTTGGAGGCGAAGTCATTTCTGGCTTTATTACCGACGACTGAGGCTCAGTCTTTATTGTTGCTATGGATCCAAAATTAGGACTGGCAATTGTTTCTAGTGTTTCTGAAGGACTCACTGCTGTCAATTGAGGTTCAGTCTTAATTAATTTTAAGGATGGACAGTTAAGACCAGCAGCAGTTTCATGTTGGTTTGAAATGCTCATTTCCCAAGGGGTTAATGCTGTCGGTTGTGGTTCAGTCTTAATTGTTGGTTTAGAATCTGGCTTTTGACAGGCAATAGATTTCTTTTGTTCTGAATTGCTGAGAAGTGAGGACATTTCAGGTGCTCTCGATAGAGATTGGGTCTTAACTATTGCAATAGAGTTTTCAGGTATTTCCATTTTTAATGGTATTATTTTTGATGTGACAGATTCAGAACGGCTGGTCTCAGGGGTCGAGGTTGATGAGGGTCTGTTGGAGAAGTCAGACGATGATGATGATGGTGATACAGCACTTATGAAGGAAGTTTTGTTCACCATATGGACTAAGTCCTGAACGAGTCTGGATGACTTCTGAATGGCCACAGTCACCTTTTCAAGCTAAAAGAAAGAATTAAGACAAAAACAGAATGAAAAACAGACGAAATCTAGAAAGAAAGACAAAGAAATAGACAAAGACAGACAGAGAAAGAAAATGTGTAAATAAAAGACTAAATTCATACATGTAAAAAATCTAAGAAAAATGAATGAAAACAATGAAAAATATAAGTTCAAAAAGCACAAAATTAAAATGAAAAAATACAAAACGAAAAACGTAATACAAAATAACCTATCAGCATGTGTGACAAATTTTTCAGTTAACATTCTCACCATTGGTTCCAAGGTTTCTTTGGTGGCTGCAAGAGAAAAAACAACATGGTATCAGATTTTTAATTACAAAGCCATCCTTTACAATATTAATATTTCCAAGCACTTTCTATTAAAATGTCTTTTACCTCCCAGATCAATGACAACAATATCATCATCATCTCCATTGAAGACACTATTTTCCTGTCTATACTCCTCTTCATCTGTGACATGAATGACGTCAAGTGGTTCTCCTCCTCCTCCTTCCTCCTCCGAATCCTCGTCTCGGTACTCCAATCCCAGCATTCCATAAAGACCCTTCATCACCGACTCACACTCAAGGACTGACCTGATACAGACACAAAACACAGTCAAATGGTCACCGTGATTTGGAGATACTGTCATCAATCATTAAAAAACACAATAACTCACTCATGGGCATTGCCATACAGAAGGTGGGTGTAAGTGGATTCCCTCTCCTTCTGCTTCACCCACTCCTCAACCTGCACCAGTTGCTCGCGCCTCTGCACCAGATGAGGGTTTCGTTCCACCTCTGCCTGGATCCAGCGCTGCAGGTCATCCTTTGTCATTCTCAGGAGGTTATCATCATCTTTTCTGCTACTCATGGTTCTACTGTTGGAGCAACATAATGAAAAAGGCCAATCGTTAATAACTGCACAATATTTGCTCATAGTATATTGTGCATCACACACTACATACCTGTTGTTGAGTTTTGACATTTTGCATAATTTTCCGTATAAAGGAATAGTTGACCCAAAAAAATAAAAATAGCTGAGAATGAACCCTCAGCGCATTCAAGATGTATATGTTCAGATTCAGATTTGGAGAAATTTAGCATTACATCACTTGCTCTCCAATGGATCCTCTGCAGTGAATGGGTGCCATCAGAATTAGAGTCCAAACAGCTGATAAAAACATCACAATAATCCACAAGTAATCCAGTCAATTAGTTAACACCTTGTGAAGTAAAAAGCAGTGTGTTTGTAATAAGAAACTTCAAACTTCAAATCACTGCTTCAGGCTAAAATATGATATGTTCCATAATATTGTTTTTTCTAGTGAAAATGTCCTGTCTGAATCAGAAGAGATATGCACAGATCAAGCAATATTTACAAGTGAAAACTGTCCAAAAGTTCGAAACAAATTTGCCGGGGGATTTTGTTGTGAGAGGTCAACAGGGGATGGAAGAGTTATTACGGATTATAGACTTCTATTTTAACGATGGATTTGTTTCTTACAAACATGCCGCTTTTCACTTCACAAGACGTTAATTGATGGTCTGTAACCATGTGGATTATTGTGATGTTTTTATCAGCTGTTTGGACTCTCATTCTGACGGCACCCATTCACTGCACAGGATCCATTGGTGGGCAAGTGATGTGATGAAATAATTTCATTTTTGGGTGAACTACGCCTTTAACTTGGATTTGACTTCACATTGGGATCTAAGCAATATTCTGTTTTTGTTGTTTAAGCATTTGTACAACATCTCTACATAATGTATATATTTGTACATAAACACCTCTTAAACAGGCACATAGTGTGAATGCAGGATGCATATTGTCCAGCACTTAACACATAGCCAATACTCTTGATTGACAGCTCAAACGGCAGTAACTAGTAGTAACTTAGTTACTGTAATAATATTACTTTTTGCAGTAACTAGTAGTTTAACTAATTACTAATAAGATTTCAGTAATAATATTACAGTTACCATACATAAAAAAAGCTTAGTTACTTTTGATGCCTCAACCCCGCTGATTTAAAATCCAACAATCAAATAATTCCTAGATTTATTTTCATAATTTTCAGGACTCGCACATGCATGTGATGTCCCCAGTGCAGCAGGCAAGCTTGGAATATGGAAAAGCTTACATTCAGCAGATAGAAATATTGCATTATATTGATTTTGTCAGGAAGAAATATGATCTGAACACTGTTGTGTAAGTTGTGGCTTTACTTTACTCTGGCATTACATCCCACCCACACCCCTCTGATCAGCATGTGGTACATTATATAATTAAAGATCTTTTTGGAATCTTTTTGGCAGTTTCTTACAAACTCATGTGATTTGATAAAATACATAATGAAAGCTTCAAGCTACACGTGACAATTCATGAGATTAATACAACACTTCTACTTGAATGTGACTATCAATCACTACTGAGTGTTTGTAATAACTTCTGACTGAGATCCAATGTGGATTTTGGTCAAATGATGAGGCAGAAATATGTTGTTAGTAACATTCTAGAAGAATTTTATGTGGAAGGATACGGTTACAACTTCTGTGGGGCGTGAAGAAAAAGTAATGTAACTAGTAGTGTAACTAATTACTGTTGCCAGAAAGTAATAAGTAAAGTAACTATTACTTTTGAAAGGAGGAACTAGTAATGAGTAATATATTACATTCTTTGAGTAACTAGCCCAACACTGCTGACAGATCAAGAACTGTAAAGAGGCATGACAACTGGAGGGAATATATAACATAATTTATATAACGCCATTCCCTTTAAACTGACTAAAATTAAGGCCTAATAAACCAAATGTGGCTACTCTTTGCTATGGCAATATGGCAACCGCGTAAAGCAAGATAACAACACAAGGTGACATACATACGGTCCAGTTCCCCAACTTGCTGCTGTAGTATGTTTGAATCCTGAAGACACTCACGTAACAATATCAAAAAGCGCGCAGCTGCGGGATTATATGGCGGACACTATTCCACTTGTTTATATGTCGGCAAAGCACAAAGTCTACCAGTGCTGCAAGGAAGAGTCTTTATAGATAGCCTACAACTTACGACATCATATGAAAAACTAAAAAGTGCGCAATAAAATTAACTAAAACCGCATGGTGGGAAACAATGCCCAGACTGTTACTGTGCCTGTGCTGTGTGGTGGCGGGCGCAGCCTACAAGAGACATTCTGATTGGTCCAGTGCACGTTGACGCGGGAAGATTAGTCACGCCCACAAAACACTTTAATCGCTTGCCATCAACTAGGATCTAAAATAGGTGGACTTAACGGGCATAGTTGTAATTTTTTAAGTGCGTCAGCTCTAAATGATAATTATTGTAGTTTAACGTGTAGTTCCACGTGTGCTTTCTATCAAATGGCTATTAAAGATTCTATTTGTATTTTTAGTGCTGTAATTTATCGTCAAACTCGCTTATGGACGAGCCATCGCACTTGCCAACTGTTACGTTTCTCAGCGCAGGCATAGATGGACCAATCACAGTTGTTTAGTCAGCCTGTGTTTAGTCTTTGATGGAAAAGGATGGAACTCTGCGGATAAATGAAAAATTGAGTAACACTTATTATGTGGACTTGAATTTGAGGCTTTATTTTAATAAACATGTAGCTTATGGTACAATTATCATTTTTAAGATATTAACTAATCTAATTAACTAATTCTTGAGAAAAAAAAGCTAATTACCAATTGGTAAAACCTTATTTTTTTTTAGCATATAACAGAAATACAGACAAATATAAAACATATAAAAACCCACATACATATAAAACAATACAGGGTTTTTCAGCAATCATTTGCCCTAAAAGCCCAGACCAACTAAATAAAATTTCAAGGGAAAAACTTACTAAAAAAATGATCAAAACACTTAGTGAAATAACACTTACTGTAGTGACCAACATGTTAAACAAATCAAAACTAATATTTAACCCTTTGTCTAGAACTGTTTGCTCCACGTATTATGTCAGTGAATATGTAAAATTACAATACAGCAAAGATAAAAAAGTTACACAAACAATGAAAGCATGAACTATTGATATGGTTGAGTTGAGGCAGTAAATGCATATATTAATCTTTCATATAAACTGCAAATATTAAACCCTTCTTGTCATTCTGTTAGGCTTCATTGGTGGTCTTGGGTTCACCGTGTTCATCCTCCACCTGACCAGAGAGGTTTTTCTTAAGAGGGTCCCGGAGGGACATAATTTCTTGTATCTTCAGGAAGGTGTCACAATCTGAGGGAAACTGATTCCTCTGAAAAACAGCTGAAATTAAAACAAGCTCTTTAAAAAGGATTAGAAAAAGAATGATGATACTCACATTGAGAGAAAGACGCAGAAGTCCACCTTCACCCTGGCCTTCCAGAGATGAGAGGAACACCTTGAGTGACTGCTCAGACAATTTATTTCCTGCATTATCAGAAAAGAAAACCTTACAACTATAATGTACAAGTAAGTTGAGTTGATTTCCAGTCCCCTCCTCTTCTATTATATCATGAATACATAATTATAGTTTTCTTAAAACTAGTGTATCTATTCTGGTATTTATGTTACAAGCAATGTCTGTATTTGGTATCTGAGAGGCGACTGAGGGTCTGACCCATATCAGGAATGCAGTAACAGTGTTTACTCACTTAGTCCGGCTTCCAGAGAATAAATATGTATTTGTTTTGTAATAATTCATCTGAATCATTATATAAACATATGTTATATTTTATAGAAAAAGAGTTATCATTTTGAACTTTGTTCTTATTTTATTATGTGGTTCTCATGATAGATGTATGAGACATTTAAAGACCAATGCACCACATGTATCCACTAACTTTTATGTATGTTAGCCTATCAGAACCTGTGGAAATGGCGTCAACTGATCATCCGTATAACTATCAGTACTAGTGGGTCTATATTCTGAGTTAGTTCAAGGCTGGCTCCTCTTACTCATTTTCTACGGCCTTTGGAAGTGTGGAGAACTCTGTCTTCACTAAACTGTCTGTCAACTGATTGAACTTGACTCCTGGTGTTCATTGAGCATATTGGTCTCTCACTACGGGGTTTAACTGTAGTTCCCCTACAGTTTCACACTAATGCTGAAATGAAATCAATTCTGAAATGAAATCACCTGAGAGATTCAGAGAAGTAAGGCATGTGTTTCCCGGATGAATGACTTTCCCTCCAGCGTGCACGATTCCAGGATCCAATAGAGGAATCACTGTCTCAACCACGTCCACTCTCTGACAAACAGATGTGTCCATGTTTAATGGGAAATATCTAATTATAGCAAAAGGGGTTTCATAAACTCATGAAATTCTTATCTCACGGGGCAACAAACAAATTAAATATGATTATATATATAT